GTGTCATGTTTTTATATATATATTTTAATTTGCCTTTATACATTTTACTTAGTAGGGACGCCGTATAATACACGATTGAGTGCGAGTTTAAGCTTATTGCTCTTGATTTTACTGCCTGGTCACCCAAAGCACCCGTGCACAGACATTTTGGGGGGCAGATGCTCAAGTGAAACAAAGGAAGGACACCCCTCCCAAAAATATTCATAAAAAACAAAGTTACATGCTGTTGAACATTTAAGTTTTTCCTGTGATTAACACCATTCAATATAGTGCTGTTATGTCAAAATCAGTATCAAAAAAATCCAGCTTACCATTTACTAAAATCCATTTACACTGCGATTACAATTACCTAAGAAATCTCTTTAGATTAATGTTCTTAATATAACATTTTGAATATAGAAATATGAAATGTTGGGAAAATGAAATAATATTATTATTTATATGAAACAACATGTGACATTTCTTAATGAGTTAATCACAGAATCACTCATTCAGTTTTGTTCAAACTGGCTGATTCATTCATGAGTGAAACAAGTGATCACTGACTTAATGGATGGGTCACTGATTCGCTCACTCTCACAATTTGTTCAAAAAAGCTTTATCATCCAAGACCAAAACAACACTCTCTATTGTTAGAAGATGCCATTATTCACAAATATTTCTGTGGCTATTAATTGTCAACCATGTTTGTGACAGTCATAGTCTGTCCAGTCTGTTTTTCTTTTTAAGTGTGCAACTTGTTGTGCTGTTTGCACTATTGACCGCAATTAGAACCAGCCCATTAACTGAAGTATCATGCTACACTAATTAGAGACTCTAGTTAGGGAAAGTGTCTCTGCCTCTCTCTTTCATGGTCTGAAGGTGATGAGGTGCCTGTGCACATGTTAATGAGCTTGCAGGAGAATAAATGTGTAATATGCCTTGAGTGAAACAAAAACCTGTAATGTCAGTTGGCTTTACACTAGTCCTCTAAAAGCCATTGCCCTTAGACCACCCATTAATGTCATGGTCTTACCAGAGATACTCAAGCCCTCCCAACCTTACAGCCACACAGAGTGTGTGAAACACATTGTGTGCCCAGTGTTTCGTGAACTGCATGGAAATTGTTAATTAATTGACTTTGTTTGCAGGCAAGGACTTAAAGGGTTAGTTCACCCAAAAAAATGAAAATTCTGTCATTAATTACTCACCCTCATGTCGCTCCAAACCCGTAAGACCTTCGTTCATCTTCGGAACACAAATTAAGATATTTTTGATGGAATTCTGAGAGCTCTCTGACCCTCCGTAGACAGCAACGCAACTGAATTGTTCCTTGACCCAGAAGCGTAGCAAGGACATCGGTAAAACTGTCCATGTGACATCAGTGGCTCAACTTCAGTTTTGCAAAGCTACGAGAATACTTTTTGTGCACAAAGAAAACAAAAATAACATAATTTATTTAACAATTCTTCTCCCCCGATTTACGTCTTCCACCATTTTGGAGAGTACCCAGGAACATAATCAGCGTGCGCATGAACGGAATCGGCATAAGCAGCGTTGTTTACTCTTAGGGGAAAGCATGCGTATGCATTTTGATACTCTCCAAAATGGCGGAAGACAGTAACTCGGGGGAGAAGTATTGTTGAATAAAGTCGTTATTTTTGTTTTCTTTGTGCACAAAAAGTATTCTCGTAGCTTTGCAAAATTTAAATTGAGCATGTCACATGGACTGTTTTACTGATGTCCTTGCTACGTTGCTTTGCTGTCTATGGGAGGGTCAGAGAGCTCTCAGATTTCATCAAAAAGATCTTAATTTGTGTTCCGAAGATGAACGAAGGTCTTACGGGTTTGGAGCGACATGAGGGTGAGTAATTAATGACAGAATTTTCATTTTGGAGTGAACTAATGGTTTTACTAATGCATCAAAATTAGCAACTGCTGCTTCGGTCTCTTTTTTTCTTGACAAGAATTGCATTTATTTACAGAACACATTTACTAGCACACCAAATGGGAGACTTTTCAGACGCACACTCCACTTTGCCTCAGCGACAGGCGAAAACGGTACAGATGATGAGGAGCTTCAGTAGAACATCAGTGTACTGCGTTCAGATGAGATGTTGTCTAGCCATATGTCAGTAATATTATTAACCTTTATTTAACCAGGTAAGTCAGTTGAGAACCATTTCTCATTTACAATGACGACCTGGCCAAGAGGCAGCATAAAAAGCAGGTACAATACAATAAAAAACATAAAATTACACCGAAACCCCTCCACCCTTACTGATTGTGAACGACCAGAACAGTAACTCTTGAACCAATCCAGACAGCTCTCAGATAGTCCTATACCTCTTAGCCTATCTAGCAATATTTCATGGTCCACAGAGTCAAAAGCCTTAGCCTAATATCACATTTCCCTCGCCTGTTAGTCGTTATACTGTGCTCGTAACGATATACACAAATACAGCGGCGCACTGTAGCCTGTATCATTTCATATTAAAGCGCGAATGAAACTACGAGCATGCGTGTCAGATCAGTGTCGTGTTCAGCAGCAGCCCTTAAAGTAATAGCAGCAAAATAATCTAATAACCAGCTGCTGTGATGTCTGTTCATCAAAGAACAAAAGAAAAAAGAGGAAATCAATAACTTTTGTAGGATTCATCTATATAACTTAGAATTTACTGTTTGATAACTTTATTTAATTTCTGTATATTTCCTACTTGCTGAAGGGCACATGTAAATATGACATTTACTAGTAGTTAGTTGTTGTTATTTTTTAAAGTCTAGTAAATGTTAAAATTGATAGTTCTCAATTATACTGTAATGTTGAATGGCCATAGTCAATGGTTAAATATTAGGAATAAAGAACAACTTCATAGAGACATCAGTGGTACTGGTATCAGTGATACCAAAGGCTATAGAAATACAAAGATGGTTCACTCCTGTACTTATGAATGGGAGAAACTGCAACGCGCAATATGGCAGAATAGTCCCACCTTCTAAATGAAAGAGCCCATCGCTGATCGGTAAAGTCATTGCGTCACTGTAGCGGCCTTTAGATGCTCCGGTTCCCATAGAAACCTGAGGCTAGACCAGTCAATGCTTAGTGCAGCCATAAGCGCGTTGGAACTGCACATAAGGCTAATCTAGCCTGAAATATAAGCTTTTTAAACGGTATTTAAGCATAAGAAACAACATTCATGAAGCAGTTCATTTCAGATTTTGTTGCTGATTTGAAATATGTAATTTAATTGCAAGTTCAGCAATTTAGATAGGACTTGGTCTTGTTTGAGCTGCCCGGAGGCATTGCAAATATGGCCGCCGAGTGAACAGACTTTCCTTGAAAGGGACTTTGGTGATACTCACCTTCAGTCATAAAAAAGATGCCACTAAACAAATATAAAAAATATACTGTCTTTATGTTGTTTCTACATTAATTTGAAGATTGCATGTGAAATTATTGCAATCTAAAAGTATAATTAATACTTAAATATTAGGTGGGATTAATCGTAATTAATCATGATTAATTTCAGAAAAATTTGCAATTAATTCGTTATTTTTTTTAATCGATTGACAGCACTAGTTTTTAGTAAAGCTCATTTTGTCTTACCATCTTGTGTTTCACTACATTTTCATGCCTTGTATTTTTTACATTTACATTTACATTTAGTTATTTAGCAGACGCTTTTATCCACAGCGACTTAAAAATGAGATTTTTTGCCACACATAAAATCAAAAGTCTGACTGTTTGTAACATTAACCACACGTTCTGAAATTAAAGAGTTAAGATGAATATCTCATACTAAACTTACCGCCTGTGTTACTGTCTAACTGGTTGTAAGCACCTTGTGAGGCCTTGGCTTTGACCCCACCATGATTTATTCTGCTGTGTGGGTGTGTTGGGTCACATTACTGTGATGGAAGACTTGAAGACTGTGGAGGAAGATCTCTTCTGGGTTTTTTTTAGTTTTAACAACAAATGTACCTTGTAGTTGATGTTGCCTTTAGGATGAAGTCAGTTTCTTCACACATCCTGCATCTGTCATGGCCTGCATGCTGCGGCACCGAAAGCAGAGCTCTGGCGCTGAGCCTATTTTTGAGAGCATCACGTGCAACTCAGCAGAAAACACTCTGACTATGCACTATGTAGGCTTTAATGAAGCAGCATACAATACTCAAGTGAAGTACTCACACATTGTTTGAACAAGGACTGCATGCTCCACACCCAGTGACACAAACACAAACCTTTCTGTTACTTAAAATGATTTATAGCTGCGCATTGGCTTTGGGGATCTGTGTAGATTAATTATAATTTGGATGTAAATGTTACACACCTCCCCATATAAATTAGATTTCATGATAATCAAGCTTGTAATGATTTCCAGTAGCTCACTCCTGACAACCATTTTATCATTCATGGCCATGGAGCTATTGAGTGTGGTTTTTCAGAAATCAGTTTATTTTCTGTATAGAGTCATGGAACTTGACAGAAGTGCTGTCGGTTGAAAGCACAACATTAACCTGCTGCTGAAGCCACAGACCTGCACTCTGTGCATGCCCTCAACTCAAGATGTGTGAAACAGGCCGTACTCCATGCTGAAAAAAACAGCATATGCTGGTTAAGTATGTTTTGAAGCATGGCAGCTGGTTTGAACTGGTTTAAGCTGGTCCTGAGCAGGAGCTAGTTGCTTAGGACCAGCCATGATTCAAAACATACCTAACCAGCATTTGCTTTTTTTCAACATGGCTGTCACATTCACAGCTCTGAGCTGATCTGATTCTCGGCAGTGCAAGCATCCTGCACACTTGTAACACACATTATGAATAAGTACTTCATCTACACGAGAGTGGTTATGAACTGTGCAGTTGTAGTAATTGAGTGACACTAGAAAGATACGACACACATACAGGTCGTCTGTTGCTTCTGAACATGCGTCACAGTAACACTGATTGAAATCATAAATGATTCTCCACTTGAAAAGAATGTCGATACTGATTATTCCTTATGCATTCTTGTCCTCCAGGTCCCTTAGAGTGAATCTACCATGGACCCCGTGCTCTGTCAGATGCTGGTCCTGGGAATGGCTGTAATGATGGCCCGTGCGTGCCCCAAGTACTGTGCGTGCCAGAACCTCTCAGAGTCACTGGGGACCCTGTGCCCGGCCAAAGGTCTGCTCTTCGTGCCACCTGACATAGATCGCAGCACTGTGGAGCTCCGGTTGGGCGGAAACTATATCCTTCGAATCACACAACAGGACTTTGCCAACATGACAGACTTGGTGGACCTTACGCTCTCCCGCAACACGATAAGCTACATCCAGCCCTTTTCCTTCGGGGACCTGGAGACCCTCCGTTCTCTTCATATGGATAACAACCGTTTGGTGGAGTTGGGCCCCGATGACCTGCGAGGGCTGGTCAGCCTGCAGCATCTCATCCTCAATAACAACCAGCTGGGTCGCATCTCTGAGAAGGCGTTTGAAGACCTGGCGGCATCGCTCGAGGATCTGGACTTGTCCTACAACAACCTTCAGGCTCTGCCCTGGCATTCAGTCCGGCAGATGATCAACCTGCACCAACTGAGTCTGGACCACAATTTGTTGGACTACATCCCTGAGGGGACCTTTGTGGATCTTGAGAGGCTGGCCCGCCTGGACCTGACCTCTAATCGGCTCCAGAAGCTTCCGCCGGATCCTATCTTTGCCAGGGCGCAGGATTCTGAGGTGATGACCACGTCGTTTGCCCCTCAACTCTCACTCGGCATAGGAGGAAACCCGCTTCACTGCAACTGCGAGTTGCTTTGGTTCCGGCGTCTGGAGCGAGACGATGACCTGGAGACTTGTGCCTCACCTCCCGGCCTGAAGGGCCGCTACTTCTGGAACGTTCGGGAGGATGAGTTTCTGTGTGAGCAGCCACTGATTACTCAGCACACCCACCGCATGCTGGTTCTGGAGGGGCAGACCGCCAGTCTACGGTGCGAAGCCATCGGAGATCCCACCCCAACCATACACTGGGTGACCCCTGACGATCGACTGCTCGGGAACTCCTCTCGCACTGTGGTGTACCACAACGGGACCCTGGAGATCCTGATCACCACTTCCAAGGACTATGGGACCTTCACTTGCATTGCAGCCAACCTGGCAGGTGAATCAACTGCTTCAGTGGAGCTGTCAATTATTCAGCTACCCCACATAAGCAACGGCACAGGCCAGGCATCGCAACCCAAGTCCCGCCTTTCAGACATTACCGGCAGCTCCAGGACCGGTAAAGGTGCTCCCAAAGGCCAGCCAGAGAAAGCGGTGTCTGTGTCTGAGGTGACCGCCGTGTCTGCCTTGGTCAGTTGGTCCGTCGGCAAGACCGCTCCCAAAGTGAAAATGTACCAACTACAGTACAACTGCTCAGATGATGAAGTGCTCATCTACAGGTACGAAGCAGAGTGGCTTCTTTCACATTTGCAGGGCTATGACGGAAATACTGATCCTAGGGTTGGGTACCGTTCACATTTTAACCGGTACGGTACCGGTATCGGTACCTGAATTTCGGTGCCGGTACCCAACGGTACCTTTTTTCGGTACTTTACTCTCTGTGTAATTACAAAACATTTATTTCAGTGAAAAAATAAGTCCAAAAGTCTCAATTTCAACATTTTGAACAATAGGGCCCTATAACTTGTTCTTTCTTTCTTTTTCTTTTTTTCCCCTTGTTTAATTTTTCTGAAAATTGAATGAAGGCTTTAAACATTTATTTTAAATCAAATGAAAATTAAACCCTTTTATTTTTTGGCAAACAAACTGAGGTTTACTGTTGAAATTAATACATGGAAGAAAAATTGTGTGAATATTCCTATAAACCATTTTTTAATAGGCTAATAATTGTATTATTTTTTCTACAATTAAGTGATTAATCTAGTTGTAATATTTATTTTTATCATTTAATTGTTTTATTTAAATCATTGTATTATTTTTTCTACAATTAAGTGATTAATCTGGTTGTAATATTTATTTTTATCATTTAATTGTTTTATTTAAATTTGATAGAAAATGGAATATTTAAAGATGTACATTATACTGTACAAAAGTAATACAAGAGTAATATATTTCTGTTACATGTTAAACTGTACTTTTATTTTGACAGGTTGCCATGAAGTTTCTGTGTGTATACAGTATGATGATGCTAGTTTTCTCAAATGAAACGGTAAAATTCTCGTGACGTGACTCTCACAGCAGCTCGGGATTAAGTTTTTGTGTTCATGCCGTCATATAGTGAGACGCAGAGGCCGAAAATCACCGCGAGCGTCACGCGTGCTTCAGAATTTGTGCAGTAAACAAAACCGCGTTTCCGCCATTTATACCCACACACTATTTAAGGATTATATAAACCCAATTAAAAGCATCTCAAGGTATTTATGAAAAACTAAATTTGAAAAAGTTTATTAAAATACACGTGCAAAAAAAAATACGCTACTTAAAAAATACAACGTATTTATTGCTTTTCTTCCCTAGAAATCAAATAAGTCTGACTTCATGATGCATTGTTGCATTAAGAGAACGAAAATTATATTAAAGGGGTCATATGATGCGATTTTACACAAAATAATGATCTTTAAAAAAGCCTCATATGACCCCTTTAAGTCTGCTTGATAATTCTCTGTCTTCACAAAGTGTATTCTGAGACTCCATGGGTAGATACTAGTATGTCAATCCTCTGCTCTTTGATGAGGTAAAAGTATATTACAGCAGCTGCTACAGTGCAGTATTAGAAGGGGAAAACAGACAGAAGAAAATCAAATGACTTCATGTCAGTTAAGCCATTCACCCATTAATATTTGAAGAAACTGCTCGGCTCAGCTCATTGGCAGTAATTCAGTGTGGCATCTTTAGAGCCGGTGTGAGAGATAAATTATTGACTTGTTTCTTCATAATGGTTCAATGAGCTGCTCTGGGACATGTTTTGAACAGCATAATGAGTAAATAAACTCTCACCATGGCCAAGATTATGCTGTCATAACCAGCCGCAACGTGACAAGATTTCTAGCACAAGCAATATTTCTATCATCGCTCGAAGTAAAAACACAATGAAATCACAGCCTGCCAGAAACCTGAGGCTGAGATCCCTCTGTCTGCATGCTCTCTCAAACTCGTAAGAGCATGAAACTGAGAGCACACACCTTGTGTTTTGATGATTTCGGTGATGCATCTCCAGATGACATCTAAGGTTTTCTTCGTGGAAGGATTTGTCAGCATTGGACGTTAGTCTACATGAGGCGTTTGGTCCAGTAAGTTTTTGGTGTGGGCAGGGCTGCTGGTATGACACTGCTTATATAGAAAAGAGATGTATGCTTGTATTACTTGTAGCCTGCTTCAGTCTGCTTGAGGATTTCTGACCTATAATCGCATTTGCTGATTCCTTGCATGTAAATATGCATGATGAACTGTTTCATCATGTCTCGCTGCGATGTTAGGACGCCCTGTCAATGTGTCACTTCCATGTCACTGGCGTCAAAAATAACAATTGTTCAGTCAAATGTATAGTCCCTTATTTGGTTCCTGTATCTGAGTGCATGCTGCATCTAAATCATAATGCATATTATATACATACATAATATTATAAATCAGTTATTTGTAAACCGGCCCTAATAAACAACATGTTTGCCACTTGGTGATTCAAAGCATTGAGGTCCTGTTGTCTCTGCCCAGAGTGTTCAGCATAATCAGGTGTTTCATCAACCATGGACACATTTGACCCTGTGGGCATTTACTTCCTTAAAATACACAGTAGTTTCTTGCTGCTTTCATTGCTAGCATTTTTTCTAGCAATTCACACACACCTTTGGAAAATTTGACACAATTACAGCTCAATTGAAAATGATACAAGATTAAAATACAATGTTCAAGTAATATTTACCTTGATATGTATTTGTTTTCTTCACAAATCACGTCTCCTATTTTAACATACACTGTTGACTCATTTGGTAAACAAGTGTACTAACTTTGGTAAAACTTTATGAGGGGTATGTTGGTTGGACCTGGTGAAAATTATGACACCCCTAATTAGTGTTGAGTCATTTTTTTAAATATATATGAATAAAATGTCATAAACTCATATGTCGTTTGACAGATTGTCATATAAGACTACTATTACAAAACAAAAATACATGGACATATTTCCATTTATTGCATGTAATGCTGAAATATTTCCATGTATGGCAAACTGGAGTTTATTTTTTTCAGTATAATGCAATATTTGCATGGACCATGTATGGCTATATATCAATACATATAAAAACTATATAGCAATGAAGACAAAAACTGCACTGCATGTTTCATGTAATAGCTTTATTGAAGAACTATTTGTCAGATATAATTAGTATAATTGTCAGAATATGAGACAACATCAACAACAAACCCAAGTAGAGTATTCCGGCTCCAACAAAGACTTCTAAAAGCAATTAGAAGAAGCGATTAGTCAACAGAAGAGACAGACGGCAGAACTCCTCAGCCCCCCTAAAATTTTTTGATCAGCTCCATAAACTGTACACGAATTTGTGATCGCCTCAGTCCCCTTTAAATTTCGTATGAAAACGGCGGCAGACTTCGATCGGCTCCTCCCCGTCTTTCAGCGCGTTCTTTTTTGATCCGCAGTCAGACCGTGGCGGCGCAGAGCGAGAAACAGAGGACAAGGTCTGTGTTTATCGATAGATTGTTATAATATCTGCATCTGTGCAGTTCTTTGTCATAAATCCAGTTTACAAAATATCATGGGGGAGCAATAATCGGTTCCCCATCTACTGTAGCCTAAGTTTTCACTGCGTTCGCCCCTCATTACACCACAGCTGTTTCCTCCAGCGAAAATGAAGCACATATGAACGCATACTTTATAAAACGATCATGTTGCCATTTTCATTTGAAAATGTAACTTTCAATATAATACATATTCTACAAGGATTAAAGTTCTCCGTTGCTACGACGAATTTCCTTTAATTGCAGCGAGTCTACGACGGATTTCCGTCAATTGGAAAAAATGAGGGGAAAAGAAACATTTAGCGCATTGTTGTTGTTGTTCTGCCCAGAAATCATCCCCGCCACGGCTGCAGCTTCTCCTTCAGCTACATAACGGCGCTTGCATCATTCACAGTCGGGTTATTAGCAGAGAACACAGAGCAGAACTTGAATTTCAGGCGCTGGATAACTATTATAACTATAACTATTAATAACAATTGTACTCATTCCCGCAGGTTCCGCGCTTTATTCAAAATTTTATATTTAAAACATTAATCTCCACATTAATTTATGAATTTAATTGCACTCATGCCACCTCTGAGCCTCATTAAACGTCTGAAAATGTACCTACAAGCCACTTTTGTGTTCTGTGTCACCTCTGTAGTACAAATAATTTTTTTATTAATACTAATTTCATATGATTGGTAACTTATTTGTCTTATTCTACTTCTTATTATATTGTTTTAAATAGAAATTTTAAAAAGCTTATAAACATAAATTTTTTAATTTAACAAATGAAAATGATGCCATTACAAAGGTAGCGGCTATTAATAATAATTCTACTCATACCCGCAGGTTCCGCGCTTATAACGCGATGACAGATGACGGAACATATCATTTACATGCTTTTGAGTCTTGAGAACTCTCTCATGCGCTCTCATTTTCTGTGCGCCCACAGATGGCGATAAGGAGAGTGACAGCTTTTAATAGTTATTAAAGGAGTTTGCAAATGTGATATTGATTTAATACAACAGTTCAATAAACAAGTACTGCCTGATTTTGCTCTATTTCTTTAACAAAAATTGTTTCAAATAAAGTAACAGCTCAGCCGCTGCGCATCTCTAAAAGCAAACACAGCGGTGTTTAATTCATTCAATGAAAGTGCGTTTTTGAACGAATCTAGTGAGTCAGTGATTCATGATTACCCATTCATAAAGACAGTCACTTGCTTCATTCCTGAATGAATCAGCCGTTCAAACGAATCA